TGCTGGAGGTTTCTTCCTGTTCAAAGGGAGTTTTTCCTCTCCACTGTCGCTACAAGCATGCTTAGTGTGAGGGATTGTATTTGAGTCAATGAGTCGATGCAATGAGATAACTTGTGTTGTGAATTAGCGCTATATAAATAAACTGAATAGAATTGAATTGAACTCTGAACAAAGACACGGCTAATCAGCTGATATGGAGCAGATGTGGATGGAGGAGACTAGAAAGGAGCTAGGGGAAAGGAAACAGGCACAAGGGGGCAGCAAAGAGCAAATGCAGACTTTTTAAACATACATAAAATGGTAAATAAACCAAAGATCAACAAAACAGAATAACTGAAAACTGAAAACCAAAAACTCAAAGTCCCAAAACGGGAAAACCATAACAAGTTATTCTTTAGGTTTTCCATGGGTTCAGTTATCTCCAGTTCCTTCTATTCTCCAGTTTTCTGCTTGGAAATTCTTTATTTAGTCATTAGTTTTATTCTTTAGCTTCATTGAAGTTCTTTTCTTGTTCCGGTTAAACCTTGTTGTTTCCCCTGGTTATTTTCTTCCAGTGCGAAGCTTTTTTTTTCTGCCTAATGAGGAGCAATGAGAGGAAGCAGGAGTTTATATAAAGGCCTTTAGAGGACAGCATTGACCTATTGTTCTAATAAACCAACACACCATTAAACCTAAATGCTGGATTCACTCTGAGCAGGAATAAGGCCGAGGCTAAATAGACCGACATAGATGCAGTAAATGATGTGTTTTATTCATTCAGGAACAAGCTGAATTTCAGAGCTTTGAACTCAACAGGGAAAAATATTGGACCTATAAAAGAATTCACATTAAAAATGAAGCAGGGAACTTAAAAACCTGCTTTATTGAATCTTTGGTGAGAAAAAACTATACAGATCCAGTTAATACTGACCAAAACTAATCAAGATGCTAACATGACTAAAACAAATAAAAACATCAAAGCTTTGGTTCATTTCTGACAAACCAGACAATAGAAAATGTTCTGGATTCAAGCTTCTATCTTTAACTAACAGCAACATTATGAATCCTGCATTAACATCTAAACATGTTGAGCCATTAAAACTTAATACTTCCTAGAATTTTAAAGTTTCAAAGAGAGGAAAAAACATCACAGCATGCATTTTATTCACTGCTATGAAGCTTCATGAAAACCAAATCCAGTTTGCATCGTCCTTCACATAAGGGATTCAGTTTATTAAAGTTGAAATTACTTTATTGTGCCCAAAAGGAAATTTGTTGTTTGTAAATCATGTTTTTAGGGGAGAAAATTGCAGCTGACTGCCAGGCAGAAAATAAAACTATCAGAGGAAAGGAGCTGAGAAACGAGCTGAGACTAGGAGGAAATGATTTTCAGATCAAAGCACATTAGGATAACATGAAAGTCAAAAAGCAAACCTAAATAAAGCAGAAGTTGGACTTCACTGAAGCTTTCCATCCAATATTCCTTAAAGAACAATCTTTAGCAGTCCGTAGAGGAAGGGAAGCGACACCTTAGAAGACTTGCAGTAAAAAGTATTTCAGCGACTCGTTAACCTAATATCAGTTTCCTTCTGCTAATTTGGGTTTGCTATAATATAAGATTATATAGAAATACATTAAACAGTTTAAAAATTGTTAACAATTTTAAATATTTAGGGGTACACATTTCTTCAGATCTTGATCAGGTTGTTGTGACCAATTCTAAACATAAATTGAACGAAGGAGATAGTGAAAGATGGATGCCGTTACAAGAATCTATGATTGGAAGAATACATATAATAAAAAATTAATATATTGCCAAAGTTACTCTATATATTTCAGAATGTTACTCTTTCACCTCCGCCTGAATTCTTCTCACAAATTAAGAAAAAGATGTAACGTTTCCTATGGACCAACAGGAAGTCCAGTAACGTTTCCTATGGACCAACAGGAATTCCAGTAACGTTTCCTATGGACCAACAGGAAT